CCCCCCCAAAAAATCCCGAGGAGCCCCAAAACCGCCTGAAATGCCCCCAAAATCCTTTTTCCACCCCCCCCCCAGCGCGGTGGGGCTGCAGGACGGGGGCGGGGCCGTGGCCGCGGTCACCGTGTACAACGCGGGGCCCCAATGGGGCGTCCAGGCCGGGGACGCCCTCGCGGTGCCAGACCCCATCGTCACCCTGCACCAGCACCAGCACCAGGGACAGGTCAGACTGGGAGGGACTGGGGGGCACTGGGAGGGCACTGGGAGGGACTGGGGGGCACTGGGGGGCACTGGGATGGGATTGGGGGGCACTGGGAGGGACTGGGAGGGGATTAGGATGGATTGGGTTATACTGGGATGGACTGGGAGGGCACCGGGAGGGGTTATAGGGGAGCTCTGGGGCACTGGGAGGGCACTGGGGGGCACTGGGAGGGACTGGACATGGGATTGGGGGGCACTGGGAGGGACTGGGTGGAGACTGGGAGGGGTTTGGGGGGCACTGGGAGGGACTGGGAGGGGATTAGGATGGATTGGGTTATACTGGGAGGGCACTGGGAAGGGTTATAGGGGAGCTCTGGGGCACTGGGAGGGAGTGGGAGGGAACTGGGAGGGACTGGAGGGCACTGGGAGGGACTGGAGGGCACTGGGAGGGACTGGGGGCACTGGGAGTGACTGGGGGCACTGGGAGCAGCCCTGTTGGCCCAAACTGGTCCGTACTGGTTCGCACTGGTCCGTACTGGTTCATACTGGTCCGTACTGGTCCCGCAGACGTTCTCCTTCCTGGGCATCCGCGTCTCCTCCCCGCTCTCATTGGTCGTCAACGGGCGCCGCCCCCCGGGCTCCGCCCTGGCCCCGCCCCGCCTGGCGCTGTCCAATCCCGACCCGGCCCCGCCCACCGCGCCCTGACCACGCCCCCCACGGGGCGGGGCAATAAAGGACCTTTTTGTTGGAGCCACGCCCACCCCCCCCCGCGCCATATTGGGGGCGTGGTCATGGGGGCCGCCATCTTGGACGTGGGGGGCGCCATATTGGGGGCGTGGTTATGGGGGCCGCCATATTGGATGTGGAGGTGGCCATATTGGATGGGTGTGGTCATGGGGGCCGCCATCTTGTCCAGCTCATGGGGTGCCCCAGGGAGGGTTTTTGGGGGGTCTGTGGGGGCAGTTTGGGGGGGTCTCAGTGGGCTTTTTGAGGGGTCTCTTGGGGCCATTTTGGGGGTCTCTGGCGGCCGTTTTTGTGGTATCTTTAAGAGCCTTTTGGCTCTTTGGGGCCGTTCAGGGGGTGATCTCTGGTGTCCATTTGGGGGCCATTTTTGGGGGATCTTTAAGAGCTTTTTGGGGGGTCTTTGAGGCCGTTTTGGGGGGGTCTTTGGGGCCATTTTTGGGGGATCTTTAAGATCCTTTTTGGGGGCTCTTTGGGGCCATTTAGGGGGGGATCCCTGGTGTCCCTTTGGGGGTCTGTGGGGGCCGTTTTTGGGGGATCTTTAAGCACCTTTTGGGGGGTCCTTGGGGCCATTTAGGGGGTGATGCCTGGTGTCCCTTTGGGGGTCTTTGGGGCCATTTTGAGGGATCTTTAGGAGCCTTTTGGGGGGTCTTTGGGGTCCCTTTGGGGGTCTCTGGTGCCCCTTCCCTGCCCCCCCTCCCCCCC